GGAGTGGCCACCCAAGCCGTGGCTATTTAAACTGCCACCTCCCTGCCTGGAGAGGTCTGCCTTTTCCCCCCATCTCTCCTTTGTACGGGGGGAGTGTCGTTTTCAGACTGCACCGGAGCTCCTGAGGTTGCCCCCACACACAGCCAGATGACTGGGTTCCACTGTGCATCTGGCACAGCCTTCCGCAGAAATGGAGATCCAGCCGCATGCTCGCCGGCTTCACGGGGAACAGCTCTGCGGGCTGCTAGTTGGGCTGGGAGAGCATGGAAATGCTAAGAAGCACTGCTCAAGAGCAGAATCGCTGGGTAGTCCAAGGAGAGGCACAGAGGGTGGAGAGCCTCCCTGTCCAAGGGGCCAGGGAAAGCCTAGTACCAGTCAGGGCTCTCAGCGCCCAGCCCAAAGGTCGGGTCTAGGCACCCTGGGAAAAACCCACCAGCCCTAGGGGGTTCCTGGCAGCATAAAGCCTCCCCCCTTCCTTCCAGCCTGGCACACCTACCAGCCCGCCACACCACCCCAGCCAGCCTAAGGCAGGGGTGGAGCCAGAGGCAGCACTGGTGGGCTGCTTCAGAGGAAAGGCCACCCTCCCGCACCACAAGCTGTCTGGGCAGAACCTGCCAGAAGGCTTGCATTAGAGAGTGGAGAGGCATGGAATGTGCGCCAGGCTGCAGCCATCTGGCTCTGGGCCAGCTCTGTCCCAGTTGGAGGCAGGGTCTGGGGTCCTCTGGGCAGTTTCCATCCAGGGAGTCTGGGGGGCCTGAGACCCCTCCTGCCCGATGGTCAGTGCTGTCAGCTCTGTGCAAGACAGGAACCAAGGGGGACTCACGAAGATTGGGGGCTACCTAGGGTCCCCCTAACAGCGGTAGGAAGGTCACAGTCCCAGCGCCCAAGAACGGTCCCTGCAGGACCAACAAGGACCTGGCATGAGGGGGCCCTCAGTTTTGCCCTTGACTGGAGGACACTGGATAACACTATTTTCCCCACATCACTCATGAAAGTCCTCTTGAAAGTGAGGGAAGTCGGGAGTGTGGTGTGTCCAGGCTGGGAGGAAATGTGACAGGGAGATTCAGAACTGAATGGGTGAAAGAACTACCAGAGAGGTCCTGAGCCTTCCTGCCGAGTGCACTCCAGGTCTCTCCCCCACCCCCTCCAAGCCCCTTTAAAGCCCATTCTCCCTGCTGCTTGTCACCCTCTACCCAGCCCCAGCCCCTCCTCCTACCATGATGGCGCCTCAGCC